CTCTATCCGCTGAGTCAAACCAGCTAGGGCATGACTTGTCTTATTTTAAATTGATTTAAGTGGATCCTTCAGTCTGCCATGCTGTCATCCTTTCTCTTCTCTCTTAACTTCCAGCACCTACAATCCTCTCACTCTCAGCTGCAATTTTGCTGTCTATCTCATCATTAAAAATAAAGCAAGAGAAATACACCCAAATTATATCTACCCACTTATCTACACTCGTGCCTATTGCCTTTTATTTTCACCAGCTAAAACAAAATATTTATGCATCCCTCGCTAAAATCAGCTCTTCTTATCAACTAGCTTCTCTCTCTTATCTCTTATCTCAGTGGTTCTCAACCTTCCTAATGCCACGACCCTTTAATACAGTTCCTCATGTTGTGGTGACCCCCAATTTCATTGTTACAAATTGAACATAATTAAAGCATAGTGATTAATCACAAAACAATATGTAATTATGTATGTGTTTTCCGGTGGTCTTAGGTGACACCTGTGAAAGGGTTGTTCAACCCCCAAAGAGGTCACGACCCACAGGTTGAGAACTGCTATCTTATCACCTGCTAAAGGAAATTGGTCATACAAATATGTCCAAGGAATAGCTTTAAGAAAAAAAAAGAGGCAGATTTCAGATCTGCATGAACCAAAAATTAGAATAATATTCTAGGTAGAAGAAAAGTGAGCTAGCAGATGTCTTAACCTTGGTATATTCTTTTTTTGTTTTGTTATTATTGTTAAACATATTTATTTGTTCACATATATATATTCATTCATTTATTAATTCATTTATACATTTATTGATCATTTAGTCTTTGCCAGGAATTATTCTAGCTCTGTGGATAAAGTAATGAAGAAAAACAGATAGAAAATGCTTGCTTTCATGAGCTTTCTAGTACAGGAACAATAAATAACAAAATAAAAGAGTATGCTACCTGGAGTCAAGTGCTGTGGGGAAATTAATGCAGGGAAAAGAGCTAAGACAAGCCTTTAAATTAATTTCCATTTTATTTCTACCTCAGAATAATATCCTATATAATAAAGGCCTAATAGGCTAAGTGTCTGGTTCTCCAGTTGGCCATTCAACCAATCAAAGCATAATATGCTAATGATATGCTAAGGCCTCTCAACCACTCTCTATGATGTGCACTGACCAACAGGGGGCAGACACTCTGACTGGTAGCTTAGCTTGCTGCTGAGGCCCAGCTGATCAGGACTGAGCAAGATGGACCAGACACACCCTGGAGCCCTCCCACAGGCCCTCCCTGGCTGGCCAACCTCCCACATCCCTCCCCAGTCCTGATCATGCACCAATGGGGTCCCTCAGCCTGGCCTGCACCCTCTCGCAATCTGGGGCCTCCTAGGGGATGTCAGAGAGACTATTTCAGCCTGACGGCAGAACAACCAGTCACTATGATTTGCAGTGACCACCAGGAGGCAGATGCATAATGCAGAAGCTGCCCCCTGGTGGTCAGTGTGCTCCCACAGGGGGAGCGCCACTCAGTCAGGAGCCAGGCTCACAGCTAGCAAGCACAGTGGTGGTGGTGGGTGCCTCTCCCATCTCTGCAACAGTGCTAAGGATATCCAACTGACATCTTAGGCATGGGGAGCAGGGCTCCCGGACTGCAAAAGGGTGCAGGCCGGGCTGAGGGCCCCTCCCCCCAAGTGCCTGAATTTCATGCACCGGAACTATAGTCTATATATATAAAAGCCTAAGCAACTGGGTGACTGGCCAGTAGCTATGATGTGCACTGACCACCAGGGGGCAGACACTCAATGCAGGTACTGCTGAGCTGTGGTCACTTGGCAGCAGTAGTTCTTGGGTGACGGACCCAGAACCAGAGAGAAGGGAGTCCGATTCTGGAGTGTGTCACCTGAGAACCACCCTCTCACAATCCAGGACCTCTGAGGGGATGTCAGAGAGCCGGTTTCAGCCTAATCCTCACAGGCCAGGCTGAGGGACCCCACTGGTGCAAGAATCCGTATACTGGGCCTCTAGTCCTTTACATTTATGTCTAAAAGTGTTTACTTATTATCTTGTCATACTTCTCTGAAACAACAAAGAATATAGATAGAAATTAAAATTATTTTTTAATTTCTTGTGAACATGAGGCTCTTTAAAAAACAATTTGGATTTACTGATCATTAATATTAATAATAAAACAATAGAATTTATTCTAAAATTTAATGAATATTAAACATAAAATCTAAGATTTTACTATAAATATATCTCCTAAGGATATCATGTTTTTCAATTAATTCAGGTATCCTTGGATAACTTCTAGTTCTTATTCCAATGAGATAGGTTTCAGCATCAACTCTATTCTAGTTTATTGTATTTATGAAGGTATTTACCAAGGAAACACATTGACATAAATGTGTTGATAGGAATGCAATAGGTTTTGCTATAATTATGTCATTCACTTCCTTGAACCATGGCTGAATTAAAGTATGCATGTTATTTAGCAGATTTACAAGATTTCTTTAGCTCCCCATTTGTACCTGTGAATATATGTATATACTATGTCACAACTTCTACTTAATGAAGGGCATGTATCTAGAAAGCTTTTAGTGGCCAAAATGGAGTTTTTAACTTTTTCATAAAGTTAGTCAAATGAAGAAGACCATATTATAACACCACGTGACTTAATAGGAAAATAATAAACTTGTCTGTTAAAAAACTATTAGGTGAGAATGACCCCTCTATTTCTCTTCACATGGAATACTGAAACAACTTTCATCATCCCTAAAGAAATTTTCCAGTCATTTATTTCCATTGTATTTATAATGAATATCATAAAATATATAACCATTGTTATTTATTTTTTTATTAATCAAATATGTCTTTGTTACTTAGTGTCCATGCTTCCTTATAAAAAATATGAATTCAGTTTATATTCTGTTTCAAACTCATCATGTGCTATTAATGAATTTGATCTATGGAAACAGATTCCCTGTGTGTGACATCAGCATCAGGCATATTATGTTAAAGGATTTAAAAAATAAATAAATACCATCATAAATCTAGAAGGATGTTTTGATTTTGAGACATAGTCCCAAACTACTGAATTTTCAGACCCGTCAGTGACAATATGTGTTTCGTGTTCTGGAAAGTCCACTTGTGAATGGTTCCACCATTTCAGACAAAGAGAAGGTGTTTCTTCTTCCAATATGTATTGTGAGACTTAATTAATGGGTGTGAAGCAGTTGGCGAGTGCCAGAGGTAAAGCACCACAGTAGGTAATGACAAAAGAAAATACGTAAGCATTACACTATGTGTCATCTCAGGTGCTTGAGTTAATCCGGCGAAACAAGACCCAACATGGGAATAGTTTTCCTAGAACATGGTATACACCTGGAAATGTATCGAAGTGAGACTTGTTTGCTTGCTAAGAAGATACTTTTTAACTTCAACTCAGGTGATTTTAAAAGGTTTCTGATCACAACTAAATGAGCAAAGTAATAACTAAGGCATTAAATTTACCCATAGTTTGCATTTTTATTTTTAGCTTTCTTCCAGTATGCTCATGACAGGAGAGTAAATGAGGTCTATTTCTAGGATAAGTTCTAATCATTTGGTTATGATTGTCAGGAGGACAATGATGAAAAGGATTCTGAGGCCATAGGGCAGTGAAAGCAGATAATTTTAGTAAAATTGCCTTGTAATTTCTATGTTTAGTATAGGCCATAATTAATGGTCAAGTCAGAAAATGGTAATGCTATTCATATATGTACCTAGGAAAACTCCTAAGGTTGTGACACACCCAATCCTGGCAACTCATGTTTAGTTCTCTAAGTATGGATATAAAATATGTTTTCAGTTGAATTTTTCCCCAGTAACTGACTGATCTGAAAAGAACCAATTGAATTCTATTAAGCCATTGCTTAGTAACCAGTGTTTGATTAAATTTAACTTGCTTTTCTTCATACCAGTGCAGTTACAGCTTAAATATCCTTTGAGTGAACATTTTTTTAGGGGTTGGTTTAATTTATAATCAGCTCTAAAAGGCCTTTGGGCTTGAGAAAATTGAAAACTATAGAATTACCTTGTTCTTTCCTGGGGTCAATTAACTGGGCAGATTCTTTGCATTCAACTTGAAGCTCCTGGACCTTAGCTAAAGTTTCATTTTCTCACTCAGCAACTGGAAACCAATCTCCTTGCACAACAGAAACTAAGCATGAACCTCAGGCATACTGAGTTGAACAGACCTTGGCGCCAGTCCCCAAATATTGATGTGCAGAATATCCCAGAAAGCGCAGTTTCACTCTTCTCCCTTTCACAAGCCTTGAAAGGAAGTGAAGGAAGTGTGCCAGGTTGTTATTCAACTCTCATATTTAATCAAGCGTTACCTGGGCACTTCTGAAACTCTCCAGCTTCTGAATTGAGAGTAAAAGCAGAGAGAATACAGGATGGGAACCACTTAACCGAGAAAGCTCCCAGGATTACTCAGGATCATGTGGCCATTTTGAGACTGGCCCAGGTCCTCTCCAGACTTCTAAAAGTCAGCAACAAACCCATCTTGGTCCTGGTGATTATTTCTAACTTAAAGCTTACAGCTTTCAAAAGGATCCCAATACACATCAGTTCACTTTGTGTTAAGTGTAACTCTCTAAAACGGATCTCAGTGCACTGCAGACCAGGCTCCTCGCTACTGAGCCCACTACATTTTCTCCACTCAGGTTATAAGTTCACTAAGAAAACATCCTACTATGGGAAAGGAAGATTTGTTTCTGAGTCAAGAGAATGACATGCGGCCAGCACACAGCAACAGGTGCAGGGCGTGACTCCTTTTGGTTTCCTCACCTGCAAAGTGGGAACCCATCACAGGTCAGAAATTCCTGATACACCAGGGACGTTACCAAAGTCTTTGTCCTTTTTTTTTTTACTTAGGGCTAGAGATAAATGCCCCTTGTTTTGCCACCGCTTAAGACAACTAGCCTGCCCTGAAATCAAAACAACCAGCCTATGAAAGCTAGAGGGTTGGACTTATTTTTTTAAGGCCTGAATGGAGGTGGTATCTTCATGCTGACAGCTGAGAAGCAGGTCAGTCAGGTTCTGGGGTGCTGCATTACACAAGCAAGATACAGCCAGCTCCGCCTAATTTTGTTTCTCTGGCACCCTCCTGCTTAGTGAGAGGGCGCCACATTTAACCCATCTGCTTTCTCTAATGCATGGCAGCCTCATTTCAGCCAGGAAAGCTGTGATATTTCAGTTCCTGTTTGTAAATACCTCCTAGACTTGAAGGTAAGTTTGTGCTGGGTGCTGGGTTACACAGAATCCCTCCCTCCCCCAACCTTGTGTCTGTCTGTCTGCCTCTCTCTTTTTCATTGATTTTCCAGAGAATAAAAATGAGCTCAACTTTTGTCAGAACAGTCTGGGAAGTAGCTACAAAGACCTTTATAGAGACAGGTAGCGATTTCATTAAGTAATTACCTTGAAAATGAGCATTTGCACTGTCGAGCGAGTTAACTTTAAGAATTACTGCCAAATTTGCTAGATGACGAAACCAACTGAAGAGCTAAAATAAAAACATTACTTAAAACATACCTGACTAGGAGAGTCTTCAGGTCCTATCTTAGTAAAAGTTTTAAAACATTTGAAGTGCAAATTGTAGCAGGAATAGAAATTGAATATTTAGATTTAAATTATGCATTTGGGCTTCAAGGTTGTTGCTAAGGTATTGGAATATGATAGTTGAAACAACAACAACAAGAATTTTCTAACATAATGAATTACATTCCCAAAGATTTTCTTTAAAGACTGGCAAAATATTGTGTATATACTTTTACTTAGCATGGTGGGTACACATGTCCACCACTCATTGGAGATCGAAAGGCTAAGTCAGTTGCTACAGAAGGCATCCCATGGAAGAAAGATGTAAATACAGTTTCTTAAAATTAGTTTCAGTTGTAGCTATGTAAGGTTCCTATGTGAGATGTTGGTTTACCGTTCACCCACCTTCTATTTGATCCATAGAGGCTGTTGCCCTAGAGAGTGAAACTTAACAGAAAGGTGCAAAGCCCATGCTTGGGAATCTGGGTCCAGAATATTTCTTTTGGAGACATGTCATTCTTTCTTTCTACGCATGACACTCTTTTACCTAATTATTTCAGTATTGAAGTTTATGACTGAGAACACCCAAGTTAGCAGGGAGTATGACAGTCTATTTTTTTTTTCTGGATTTATGCATCATACCGTGATTTAAATTAGACGATGTTCACAAACTTCTGAAACTTGTTTGTATGTGTTTTTTTTTTTCTTTCTAGGAAAGTCAGGGTTTTATTCCCCCCCCCTTTTCCTTTTAAAAGAAATAAAAGTGAAGGGCCTACAGTTCTCAGGTACAGTCCTACTTTATGTTAGTTAAGTCTTCTCACCTTTCATAAAAGAGGCATATATAGAGGCATCATTTCTTATGTCCTCATTTATTGTGGCTCTTTCATATAAAGAAAGTAAAATACTGCCCAAGATTGGAAAAGCCGCTCATAGTGACGCTCAAGGTTTGCCTGGGACACTGGCTACATGTCAGACTGAGTTTCCCATGACAAAGACAAACAAAACCCATCTGTCTTACTTTGTAGCCTGAACGCTCTAACTAGATGTGATCAACAGCAACTGAGAGAGAAGTGGCACAGTAAATACTCTTTAAGTTACTTCACTACAGAAACATGTTTTTATATTATCCTCTCAGCGTACCTCAACTAATGCTTTTATTTAAAGTTTCTGGATTTGATTGAGTTTAGAATGACTAGCATTTCTCTTCCCTTGCCCGGGTTGATTCCTTGACACAGAGCAGGATACTCCCTTACTTTCAAAGCTTGGTATAAGATGGGTATGACTCAGAACAGGGACACTGGCAGAATAGTGATTTTATGCATTTAAGGAGAAGAAAATTATGTACAGAGAGTGCGGATTTGCCTCCCTTAATGGCCATAGTTGCTTTCTCTCTCTCTCTCTTTCTCTCATCACCCAGCCCTCCATGCAAAGTAGTAATGTGAAACCACTTTTTAGTGCCAGCAACCAAGGAAAGGGAGAAAATAGTGTACTTTCTCTCCTGTAAAGGAATTATTTAAAAAACAGTGAAACTCACACTGTCTGAAAGTATATTTTACAAGTTATTCAATACTAGAAATAAGACAAACATTTCAATATATATAGAAAGGATTAGAATCTGTGTTTAAGCTATCACAAAGTGGATGGACATTCTCTTTCTCTGTTCCCTTTATGATTGATAGAACTAATCTTAGAATTGTGTGTGTGTGTGTGTGTTTGTGTGTGTGTGTGTAATGATCTCAGCTTTGTTCCTATGTTACATCCTCAAAATTCCTCTTGGGAATTTCCACCTAGGGGCAAAAAGGGGCAAAGAACAGGAGAGTGAATGATGCTGTCTGGTTGGTTGTCCTGAATTTCTCTCCGATGACAACTTCACTTTTCTTTCATCCCATCTTCTGTTTCCCTCTGTACTGCACCTGCTTGACAGATGAACTTGAGCACATACAAGCATGCCATCCATCATCCAGCATAACTTAATTTTACATAACAAGTAACGCAACATCCTCTAGGTCAGGGGTTCTCAACCTTCTGGCTCTTTAAATACAGTTCCTCATGTTGTGACCCAACCATAATATTATTTTCGTTGCTACTTCATAACTGTAATGTCGCTACTGTTATGAATCATAATGTAAATATCTGATACGCAGGTTGGTCTTAGGCAATCCCTGTGAAAGGGTCATTCGACTGCCAAAGGGGTCGCGACCCACAGATTGAGAACTGCTGCCTAAGTATTTGAATTCTAGAGATGGTGACAAGTTGAGAGGAAAGTGAAAAAAGAAAGAGTACACTTTTATTTCATTGCCTTCTGACGCTCCTCTACCACCTCCATTAGCTTTTGCTGCTTATAACACTCTTATTCAATTCAGAGTAGATTGAACAAACATATAAATTGCTTAGTCTTTACTCCAGCAAAAGTCCAGGGCTAAGATTCAATTCCTGGCTGCTTCTATCCCTTTAAGACGAAGGGATCTGAGGAAGAGGTATAAAGTGGTTCTCTTAGAAGCCAAGGAGCAGAAGCAAAGTTGTCCCCCATTACCATGCTTGGACAACATGAATAAATCAATATTCACAAAAGCCTTACCCACACTGGTATTAATTTAGAAATAAACTTCAAATAGTATTTACAGCATTCTGTCTTATCCCTCTCTGCCCTTTCTTTTCCCTGGAGATAAGTTATAGACAGTAACAGAATGCTTAGCCCATTTGGGGTATTCATTCCTTAGGTTTTCACATTGCAATCAAAAACTGGGTGAAGGGTAGAGAGATCCTCTTGGTTGCTCAATGTTACAGGCAAAGGGAAACAGGAACAACAAAGCTCACTTTGTTGACTCCTGATATATGGATTCTCATTATAGGAAAGGAACAAGAAAACTCAATGCCATGTTCCTCGTGTAACGTTATGAGAAAGTTAGAGGAACAGCTAAGAGATGCTTTTCCCCGCTCGTGACCACTTCATTAGGAAGATAAAATAACCAAAAGCTTGGGTACAGAAAACCTAAATCAAACTAAATAATAATAATAATAATAATTACAATTCATAAACTAATCAGATCACCGGTAGTAGAATAATAAAAAAAAAAGACTATAATGTTTGCCACAAACCTGACAGAGTTCACAGGAGAAGGGTGTTTTTGAAAAGGTCCATGTGAGTATTTTTAAACTAAATGGAATCGCATTTTAAATGTGCTAGGTGAGGAATCAGTTTAATGAAATGTTGGTGAGCTTACATAGGTCTGGGGAAAATCACTTGTTTTGTTACTGCTAATCTGTAAACTACACACTATAGGTGCCCATCTACAGCACATAGAGACAATTGTTAAAATTTTCTTAAATTAGGATAAAAGTGTATATAGTATGTTTGAGAGGTACTTAACATAGAAGGCCCCATTTTTCCAGTATTTAAAAATGGGATTATACTTGCTCTGATTAAAATAAAATTTGTAAAAGCTGTGCTAAGACAATGTTGATGGGAAGAGTTCTATCAAGCAGCTAAGTACCAAATTCTGTATTTCTTTGTAACATTTCTGACATAGTTGATTACTAGCTTTAATGCCAAGATTTGAATCCTAACCTTATTTCTTTTTTTAAAAAAAATATTTTATTGATTTCAGAGAAGAGGGGAGAGGGAGATATAGAAACATCAGTAATGAGAGGTCCGCCATAGCTGGATTGACTCAGTGGATGGAGGGTCGGCCTGAGGACTGAAGAGTCCCGGGTCCGATTCCAGTCAAGGGCACATGCCTGGATTGCAGGCTCAATCCCCAATAGGGAGCATTCAGGAAGCAGCCAATCAACGATTCTCTCTCATAATTGATGTTTCTATCTATTTCTCCCTTTCCCTTCCCCTCTGAAATCAATAAAAATATATTTTAAAAAAATAATGAGAGAGGACTATTGACCGGCTACCTCCTACACGCCCCACACTATGGATTGAACCCACAACCCAGGTATGTGCCCTGACTGGGAATTAAACCATGACCTCCTGGTTCATAGGTCAATGCTCAACCACTGAGCCATGCCGGCCGGGCCTAACCCTATTTCTTTAGTGTGTCCCTAGTTGTGTGTCCTTGGACATATTATTTACATTTTATGCCCTATTTAACCATCTGTTAAATAGGATTAATAATCCCTTTCTCATTGTGTTTTAGTAAGAATTAAAGGATAAAAAATGTAAAACATGTGATATAATAAATGCTTAATAGCAATATGTTTTCCAGTTATTTTTAGGACCTAAATCCATTTTCTTGGTAATGACAAAGAAATAAATGAAATGTAAATAAACAAAATTATCACAAATACAGGCACCCATGTAACCCCTATCAGGTCAAGAAACAGAGCATCCCAAGCACAGAGAAGCCCTTTCCATGTCCACCCAATATTTCCTCTCCACAGTGACCACTTTCCTGACTTCTAACATTCCAGTTTGTTATCTGTTTTTGAACTTTATATACAGAGAGTCACCAGTACAACTGGCATTTTAGCTCTGTATTAATATTTCTGGTAATCACCCTTATTTCTCTATGCAGCTCTAGTTTGTTAATTTTCACACATGAATCTACACAATTTATTAACCACTCTGTTAGTGATGGATGTTTAAGTAACACTTTTATATGTCTGCTTTATATGTAAGCTTTGCTTTATAAGGAGGTTTTCCTGAAGTGATTAGTATAGGGCATGAGAGATATTATATCCTAAAACCTCAGGAATCCACATATGGACTGCTTGCTAAAAGCTTTTGAAGAGAAAAGTATAGCAGGATGTATTATAGATATATTTAAGTTGTACCATTATACAAGAAATTGTTACGCAAGGATGACAAAACCAAAAGATAACCAGAGGTGTACACAGGAGCTCTTCAGATCCTACTGAAAAATCATAAAGGTTGAAAATAGTTGTAAAACATTTCTGGGAGAGCTTTTAAAAGAATAGCTGGTAATAGTGGACCAAAATAATAGCAGTAGCACCTCCTCCTTTTACTCATCTCAGTCATTTAGGAGAGTTTTAGTGAAAAATAAGCTCTGAGGTTTAATTCAAAGAATATAAAATCAGTTTTCAGACTTTTTAAAAAGGAGAAATAGCCTAATTTTTTAAAAAAGAATAACTGTTTCACCTGGCTGGCATGGCTGAACCAGCAGGTCACAGTTCAATTCCCTTTCAGCGCATATGCCCAGGTTGTGGGCTAGATCCCCAATGTGGGACATGCAGGAGGCAGCTGATCAATGATTCTTTCATCATTGATGTTTCTATCTCTCTTTGACTTCCTCTCTGAAATAAAAATATATTTGAAAATAAATAAATAAAGTAATAATTATTTCAATGAAAAACACTTTACATTTTAGCAGCTAATTACTTTGGAGTCAGTAGACTTGTCTTTCAGTGTTGCCTCTTCCATTTACTAGCTTCCATTACTAGCCGCTATGAACCTCAGTTTCTTCATCTGCAAAATGGGAATAATTAATCCAACCTATTCTTTTTGTCTGAGGGGATCATTGTGATAATCAAGTGAGAGATTATAAACTTTGTCCAGTGCAAGACATTTAGAGAATATTATATTTTAACTAGAGGCCTGGTGCATGGATTTGTGCTCGGGAGGAGGGGGGTGTCCCTCAACCTGGCTTGCACCCTCTCGCAATCTGGGACCCCTCGGGGATATAGCAGGGCACCAAGTGGCAGTTGGACAGGGAGGAGCCCAAGCTGGTGCTGCACTGCTTGCACTCATCCCAGCCCACTGCACCTGCCACCGCTGCTTGGTAGCACTGATGCGGAGTTGGGAGAGGCTCCTGCCACTGCAGCTGTGCTGGCCAGCCATGAGCCCAGCATCTGGTTGAGTGATGCTGCCCCTGTGGAAGCACACTGACCACTAGGGCTCCTGTGTTGAGTGTCTTGCCCCTGGTGGTCAGTGTGCATCATAACGACTGGCTGACTGGTTGTTCAAGTCCTAATGGTTGCTTAGGATTTTATATATACAGACAAGAGGCCCGGTGAATGAAATTTGTGCATGGCGAGGGGGGGGGGGTCTCTCAGCCCAGCCTGCCCCCTCTCCAATCCAGGACCCCATGAGGGATGTCTGACCGCCAGCAGTTGGACATCCCTCTTGCAATCAGGACCGCTGGCTCCTAACTGCTCACTTTTCTGCCTGCCAGATTGCCCCTAACCACTCTGCCTGCCTGATCACCCTTAACCCCTCTGCCTGCCTACCTTATTGCCTCTGACCACCTCTGCCTACCTGCCTGATGCCCCTAGCTGCTCCCCTGCCAGCCTGATTGCCCCTAACGGCTCTTCCCTGCTGGCCTGATCGCCTCTAACTGCTCTGCCTGTCTGCCTGATCCACCACCCCCCCACCCCTCCTTGGCTTTCTCCAGAAAGATGTCCGGAAGGACATCTGGAAGACGTCTGGTCTATCTGGTCTAATTAGCATATTACCCTTTTATTAGTATAGATAATAAGAAATAAAGTTAATGTCTATTAACTGCTTACTTTAGTCCAGATAGTTTTTAGTGTGTTTGAGAGGTACTTAAGGTAGAAGGCCCTCTTTTTCCAGTGTTTAAAAAATGGGATTATATATTGCTCTAATTATTTCAAATGATTTACTCAAATCATTCAATTTAGAAAAACAATGTGAAGTCAGTGTAATTATGATAATGATGATGATGATAAAGCAATTGCTTGTTATGATAATTGTTTTTCATAGATTATTCATGACAGATGCCTGAATTTTAATATAAATCTAATTTCAAAAACCTCTCCCCCTATCCTGCTATCTATAAATTTGTTGTACTTCTACACTTATAAGCAAAATTGTGTGCCTGGGTTGGAGTTCAGGACTATGGTTTCAAATCCCAACTTTACCACTATCTAGCTAAGTAATTTACCACACAAACTCCCAAATATATCCTTCATTGACACAATAAAGAAATATAATTAAAGGTTATCCTAAAATCCAAGTCTTTCTGATTTTCCTAATCTGAAATTAATAGAATGGAGAGCATCATAAAAAGTATTTTGAAAAACAAATGTTAATTTCAAATTCAAATAACTTAAATTAGGTATAATAAAATCTTTTCAAGTGGGGTCTCTGACTGACTCACTTTAAAGTGGTACATTTAGTGTATATTCAGTAACATCATTTTCATAATATTCCAAATTACATCTTTAAAAAGAACATGTTTTCCTAAATAGGTTGAAAAAACCAGCCCGCTCTACATACACTATATTTATGTTTTAAAAATTTTACTTAGCAGTTCATATATAGTGTGTGTATGTGTGTGTGTGTGTATGTGTGTGTGTGTGTGTGTGTGTGTGTGTGTATTTTTAACTTGGCCCAAGCTAAATAATCCTTGAAATAATGGAATAGTGGTGTCTGGCCTGACAAAGTTTCTGCATGGCATTTCCTTAGAGCAGCGGTTCTCAACCTGTGGGTCGCGACCCCTTTGGGGGCTAAACAACCCTTTGACAGGGGTCGCCTAAGACCATTGGAAGACACATATATAATTACATATTGTTTTTGTGATTAATCACTATGCTTTAACTATGTTCAATTTGTAACAATGAAATTGGGGGTCACCACAACATGAGGAACTGAACTGTATTAAAGAGTCGTGGCATTAGGAAGGTTGAGAACCACTGCTTTAGAGGGAAAAAAAATGTTATATAGAATATAGAACTCAGTCATTCTAATTTTAGTACACAATTCAAAGAAAACAAACTTTTGGAAGTGAGAGTATGATATTATCATCTCAGCGTTATGTATCTAGATTTTTCACCACTTAAAAGTGTAGATTTTCATTTAATGGTTCAAATGGTTGTTATTTTCTTTCAGATCCCCTATACCAAAGAAGGCTACAATGTTGACCTCAGCCCAAACTCTATTGCTTTCAACCTTGTTTAGTTTACTGTTATTTGTAAGCCATGGAAAAGAAAGTCTGGAACTAAACACAACACAAAACATTGCAGAAAGCTTAAAACACATGGCAAAAGAATACGTTCCTTTGAAAACTGGAGCAGATTTCAACTTAGGTAAAGAAAATAGAGAAACTTCCAATCCCAACGCAAGAAATTCCTCTCTTTGGGATCCATCAAATAAAAGTGATGAAACAACAGATTTTGTGGATAATTTGACCACAGACTCCCCCAGGAGTCCCACACCCACACCTGTATTTTCTGGAAGCACTTCCTTGATCCACAGCTTTGTTTCTAAACTGCCTCAGAACTCAACTGCAGGAGATGAAAATTCTCTGTCCGTTTCATCACCTCCCAATGCTACATCTGCTGTATCCTCAGTGGAGTCCCTGGCCAATGATACCATGAAAACTGACAACAGTTCCATTACAGTTAGCGCACTTCCCTCGGCGTTAACCACCACGAACCCCATGACAACGGAACCAGATGGATGGCTTAACATTACTAATGATAGCTTTGTGGGGTTTACCCCCTATCAGGAAATGACTCTACAGCCCACCTTAAAATTCACCAATAATTCAAAAATCTTTCCAAATACATCAGATCCCCAAGAAGGTAAATATAAACAAATTTAACTTTCTTTTGGTGTGAAAGAATCTCCATGTAAATCATACAGATTACAACTATAGAATATGCCATACCAGCAGGGGTGGGGAATGTCCAGTCAGCAGGCCATGTAAGGCCCGGGAAATTTGGTCTGGCCCTGTCCAAGGCATTAAGGGGAGGTAATTAAATGTTTGACCAATATAGCAAGCTAATTTTTTAAAAATATATTTTATTGATTCTTTACAGGGAGGAAGGGAGAGGGATAGAGAGTCAGAAACATCGATGAGAGAGAAACATCGATCAGCTGCCCCCTGCACACTCCCCACTGGGGATGTGCCCGCAACCAAGGTACATGCCCCCCATCGGAATCAAACCTGGGACCCCTGAGTCCGCAGGCCGACACTCTATCCATTCAGCCAAACGGTCAGGGCTAGCAGGATAATTTTTAAGTTAATAATTTTGTATGGCTTTTGAATGATGTTATAAATATCCAAATAGCCTTTGGCAGAGAAAAGGTCCCCCACCCCTGTGACTAAAGAAAAAGAGGAGATCACAGTAGCACAGGTGGTCTCCCTTTAAGGGTAACCATGATATTCACTGGAAATAGTGAAGGGATTTTAGAACTTAAGTCAGCATATACTTAAGTGAGATAAAATGAGACGTAGGGTAGGCTGAAAAGACTGAAGTAGTGATACAGCTTGGAGATACTGTGTAACAATTTTTACTGAATTTTAGAGAGACTACTTGAACTTTCACATGCTTTTAAGAATACTATACAACTGAACTTTAAAAACATATGAATGTTGGTCTCAAATATTGAAGTAAATGGATTTATTAGTTATCAGATACCACATAATCACAGGAAAATAGAACACTGATATTTTTTAAAAAAGTAAATAAATTCAACAAAAGGAAATCCTCAATTTTTAGTTTAGTACTTAATGACCACCACAAGAAAATTGTAATATGGGGACAGTTTTATGTTTCATTCTTAGGGATTATTACATCAAGATTTAACACATAAAGTGAAAAATTGCTAATATTTAATGAAAATTCATTATATTTTATTTTTTCAGGTCTAATAATGTTTCTGCTTCCCTGAAACTTAAAAATATACTAGTCCCCCCCTATGAAGTCACCAATTTCCAATAGAACTTATTTACAGATTATATTAATTATATTAACACCAAATCATCCATATACCTATATCTATATCTACTAATATATATACAGTATATATTATATATATTCCTATTTGAAGTTGTTGCCAGTGAACAGGAAAAGTTTTAAATACTGAAATCTAGGCTTTACTATAGCTCTGAAACCAATGTATTGTATGTACATATATTTTCATTTTAACTTTAATTAAAAATTTTTTAAATGTTTTTTTTAAATTAATTTCAGAGAGGGGAAGGGAGAAAGGGATAGAAATAGCAATAATGAGAATCATTGATTGACTGCCTCCTGCATTCCCGCTATTGGGAACTGGGCCCAAAACCTGGGCGTGTACTCTGAAGGGGAATCAAATCATGACCTCCTGGTTCATGGGTTGACACTCAACCACTGAGTCACACTGTCGGGCTAGTTTTAACTTAAACATATCAGTTTCATTCATACATACTCTAACATCCCATCAGAAATATATTGCTTAAAAATACTATCTCTTTTGTCTCTCTAAACGTAAAATACATATTGAAAACATATTACTTATTCCTACCAGGTAACTTTGCTTCATTTTTGTTTTAGTAATAATTTTGTTAACTTTCCAATGTGGAGGTTAATTTTTTAAATATATAAGGTTTCATATAGAACCAGAGACTCTTTAAGACCCTTTACCTAGCTAATTAGTAAGCTTCTCAAGAAATTTTAAAAAACATTAAAAATAAAATACACTAAATTTGAGTTCATGGAGCAGTAAGTAGTTTATTTATGATAGTTTTCAAATAAGGTACTTAGTAAAGGGGATGATAGGGTGAAATTTTGGGTTCTCTTAAACTCAGACCTACACATCTGTTCCCTATGTGTAATGCACTGACAATATAATGCTTTGATCATTATTCTGATTTTTCCTTATAATGCCTTTTCACTTGGAGTTTTGTGGATTCATTTCCTATTCCTCACTTACTCCTATTAGCTTTTTACTTTCAAATTATTATAGAAACAAGATCAAAGTTCATTTTACCATTAAAGTTCATCAGAGATTTAGAATTGATTAAAGACAATATAGCATTTAACACAGAAATTATGTCCTAATGGAGCACACTCACGGCATTTCAGTACTATTAGTGTTGATGAGTAATGAGGCATAATTATAAAACTAGGACTTACAAGTAATTCAAAATAATTTAATATTTAAGGTTTGTTTTTATTAGGAAATATATTTTGCCAATATATCCCAAATATTCAGTACTTTATATACATATATATATATGTGTGTGTGTGTGTGTGTGTGTGTGTGTGTGTGTGTGTATCAGCATTATCTAATATTTTTAAAAATGTTAAATATTCTTTGTGCTATACATGTATATATGTCTGTACTTTGAACAATTATTTCTATTTCTTGTTTATAAATTGTTTTTCTTTTTTTCTCTCTAGAGAATAGAAATACAGGAGTAGTATTTGGGGCCATTTTAGGTGCTATTCTGGGTGCTTCCTTGCTTAGTCTTGTCGGCTACTTGTTGTGTGGAAAACGAAAAGTGAATTCATTTTCTCATCGGCGACTTTATGATGATAGAAACGAACCAGGTAAAAACAACTTTCAGAACTTCACCTTCAGAACTTCCATTAAGTGGGGATTGCTAATGGTGATTACATTGTCTAGACAGGGTTCAGAGATTCATACAATAGAAATAGACCAAAGATTTATTCTGTCCTACTCTCTGTTCCTCAAATAGTAATAGACCTGTGAGAAAAAAATTTAAAATAGTTGAAACTGTTGCTCATTGCATAAGAATTGATTTTAATTAATAATCCCAGAACCTAAAATAAATCTATTGGGAGAGAATAGTATGAAATTAAGAAAAAATGGGCAGTTTTGTTAGTGATTGCAAAATCATCCATTTTCATTAGTGTTGTAGTTAAGTAGCAGTAATTTGAGCAAAGACATATTCTAATAGGAGCTCTTCAAAAGTTTTACAGATATAGTCACCTCATATTAATTATCTTAATGAGTCTCTAAAACAGAATTTCTAATGAGTTGCATATTAAGCTACATAAATCACAATTTACCTTAATTCTGTAAATTCATGTGGTGAAAAAGAACCATAATACCTATGAATAAAAAATGGAACTGCTATGAATGAAGCACTGAGTAGAACCTTAATAACACAATGTATAGAACACAAATGAAGTCACTTCGAATGCTTGATTCTTCCCTGTTTTCTGGTTTACAGGAGGGATTCTTGCTTCCATAAAAAAATAAATAACCCTAGTGAGTCCCATTGATAAAGTCTTATTTATTTTTGAGAACCTCAAATCCTAAGTGACATACGGTCCTTTTCAGAACCAAATCCACCACTTAAAAATTTGACTGAATTCTGCCTATGGGTTCCTAGCAATACATATTTTAAAAAGTAGCATTTTTCAAAATAAAAGGATATAATTTCGAACAACATGGGTTTCCAAACTTCTTTTTTAAACCTCTGAATTTTTCCTTTATTTATAATCACTGTAATCATCTGTAAAAAAGCTCAGTCTATTAAATTGATATAATTCAATATATTTTGATTGAGGCATAAGAAAATAATCATACCACCTACTTTACTCCTTCAAGACAGATTAGGGACCCTCTCCCAAACCCCTCAGGGTTCTGGGAGACTAGTTTGTGAAGAGATGGCTGAAGAAATTGATAGGATATGAAAATACCTCACTGAATAATTAGATTACTAATCTAATTAGTAGTTAATTACTGCTTCAGTATTTAAAAGTACCTCCTTATTTTCTTTGAAAATACATTCAAGCTCATTAAGGAAATAATAATTGACTGTTGAAAAAAGAAAACAATCCTTTGTTATCAGTCATAAACCCTCAAATACATGATAAGTTGGATCTATCAGCAGGACACACAAGCTTTTACAAGTAGTTTTCTCCTGTCTCTGTGTTCAATGGCTCAACCATAAAGACATGGAGACATGGCTTAGAATAATGGCACTGATTTTCAAATTAATGCTCTTCACTTTTTTAAAAAAAAGTATTTTTCACACCAGAAGTGAAAATTCTGAACTAACTGATAAGACTGAAATCACGAGATTCAACACAATGAGACATAGTCTATCCTCCCTGATAAAAAGTATTACTACACTTTTGTTGTGATTGCTCTCTTGGTTCCTTTAGTTTTGGTCCACCAGCAGGGAAATTCTGGAAGTTAAATTGTTCTCTTAGTTTTAGAAAGAAATATGGCTTGAAAATATCTACTCATTTAAATTTCAAAACTAATATCTGAAAAGCCCATATAAAGGTCAGGTACACTTACCCATCTAGAACAGTACCTAAGGTCTGGCAGATGCCTGAATACATGTGCATCTTTCAAACTGTGACTGAAATACCTTTTATAAAATACCTTTTCTTGGTTACTTTTTTTAGTTCTGCGATTAGACAATGCACCGGAACCTTATGATGTGAGTTTTGGAAATGCTAGTTATTACAACTCAACTGTGAATGATTCATCCATACCAGCAGGTCAAGAAAATGCACGTGATGGTATTCCAATGGATGACATACCTGCACTCCGTACCTCAATATAAAACTAAGGGGAAAAGGGCTTCAGATGGCAAGTGTTTGCTTACATCCTGGCCTTTTCACCAACCCACCTTCCAAAAGCTGAAGCAAGATCACTGTCATGTGGCTTGTGCCAAGAAGAACTGTAAAAGCCTGAGCCTAGTAGCAGAAACATAGAGATGACAAATCATCCAAGGGGTCTCCTTTCTTGCCATTTCTGGCAATGCTGAAACTTATATGGAGTAACCTTCATTTGTATTTTAGTCTATTTTCTTCTCAGTAAGAAATGTTTGTGGGATCACATAAAACTAAAAGATTGTACCTTGATTGCCCTCCTTGATAATTTAATTTAAAAACTTCTTCACTGAAAATAGAGAACAAAATCTACATTTATACTTTGTTTTGGCCAAAAATAAGTCAATGGATTGACACTTCACTGCTCTCCCTGTAGCTCTAATGCCATGCATCACAGTTGACATTCTGTTGAAGAAGCACTGGAAGTAAATTTTTTTTATTTTTTTACATAAAGCTAGAAAGACAGATGGCACAGAACCTCTGTTTCTGAGAAATGTAGAGAATGGAAGTGAGAGACCTGTCTTTTAAGCACATTTTACTTTGCTGCCTTAGCACTTACTAGCACATGGTCAGTCCCTTGAACTGCCAAGTTGACAATGACTTGGCATGCAACAGGGCTGTTAGGAAAGATGACCCTAACCAGGAAAGTAATTGCTTTTCTTCAAAGGATGTCTGAGTTACTTTATGCCTCAATTAACTGGGTAACCTAAAAACTCAATGAGAAATGTTTTGAAAAAAGTCAGCCAAAGCCTGTACCTGTACATAATTTTTACAGTTTTAAGATGTTAGATAGGAACATAATTTATTATGTATTAGACATTACTGATCAATTGTATATGGAATAGATTCTGCATCTCCAAATAGATAATGAATGAGATTAAAAATAGATAAATGGAAATGTTAAACAAATAAAAAAATTTCTGAGCATCAGTTGCAAGAAGTTTAATTTGGATTATGTTTCAGTTTGTTTTTAATTACTATCTGCTTCTGGCAGGGAAAAACACACACAAAACAAACAAAAACTCTTTAGTATAGGTAGGTCCAAGGCTTTAGGGATTAAAGAATCAGATCAAGAAATACATTCCAAATGAAGCAGTGAATATGTGAAGAGGACAAACAAAGCAATAGACTTTGTTGAATTGATACATGGGGTGTGTGTGTGTGCGTGCACATGCGAGTATGAAAAAATACAGTAATAGCCTCAGAGAATGAGGGCTAGGAAGTAATGGAGAATTACTTACCCCATATTGCCATAAAAATAGCAAAGAAGACTGTCCCTCCATTATCAAACAAGTATGTCACCTTAATGGAAAAGAAACAAAACTATTAATTACAGTGTTGGTTATAATAAGCAGGTGATTGCAAATCCTCCCCCTTGGAATCACATTATTCTATAGTTTGTAAATATAAGACATAGATAACTTCATGATTGCTACAGCTATTTCATATAATTTTTCTCTTGGAAAGAGGTAAAGGATCAGCATTTTTCCCTTTGCTTTCCACTTCCCTTTTATTCCTTATGGACTCCATCTTCATTTCTGCTTAGAAATTGTTCTAGCACCTCAAGGAAGTATTTGTGAGCCACAGAGAGTCAAGCTATAGTGTGACCTGTAAGAAGTCAACCTTTCAGTTGAGGAATACCTAGTTGGACTTTTTGTTAGCAAAACCTCCAGGATTGGGAAAGTTGCAAAATGCATAATTCCACTAGTGAGGCAGACTCTCAATGGCATGGTATCACAGTGCCATCCCTCCTCTCTGATAGCTTTCAGAATGGGCCATGGCCCAGTAGGGGCTATAGAAGGTAATAAATTCCATATTAAGTTGTTTTTCAGAAGTTTCATAAATCACTGACAGTAGGATATAGTCCAAGTGTTTTTGAACCAGACATTACCTGAAGTTTTATAGAGAATAATATACAGTTATGTGATGTTATTGAATACAATTTTCAGGGTTGCAAGAATTGTTTGATTTTAATAAAGTATAAATTTAATTTACCTTTGCTTCCTTTCATTTGCATATTGCCCTTGCTATGTTTATAAGTTAGTGAGAGAGATTAAATGTATACAGTCAAGACAATACATGTTTGGTAGTCAAATACATAGTATATCATCTATAGAGAAAATAGGGACACTAATCTCATGGGAGAGAGAGAGACTAGTTAGGGACTAAATAACATTACTAGTATTATAAGGGAAGTGGGAGTAAAACGGTATCTTTATTGCACAGTCTATAGTTCAGAGGCTGCTCAACAAAAGATGTGCTTATTCCCTGCAATGTAGCAATACTGGAAATATCAGTGTACAAAAGATGTGCTAATTTTGATGGTTTGTGGGTAGGTGCAAGATGTCCTAATAGCTGTAAAACTTCTTTGATTGTTAAGGCTCAGAATTTCTAAAAATGTTATAAAAATTGGTTTCATAACAATCATCGGGTACATATTATGTACAGGAGAGAAAAGGACCATAAAGGAATTCTCCTACAGAGCTCATAAAATTACACCCAGCGGGAGAATCCAGATTTTTTGTTTCCAGAGGCATCCCACAGAGATACCTGCTGCTGCCACACAGCTCAACAGCTGTCTGCTCTCCCTTATCAACAGACCTACTGCAGGGAATGGCCTCTTTGAGTGTTAGAACAGAGACTTTACAAAAGGGCACTTAAAAGCACTAATAATGGCTTTCAGAGAAGTGGCAAGTAAAAAACCCATTTTTAGCAACAACCAGGTTCATAGCCATCACTTGTCATAGTTTATACAATATTTTCTTGAAAAAACTTTTTCATTTTTTTGATGTTTGTTTACACATCTCAGATATTTTTTAACTCAATAAATTTAAACAGTAACTTTTTTAGAAATCTATATATGTAAAAGCCTAAGTGACTGTCCAACCGTCTGACCAGTAGCTATGCTGTGCACTGACCACCAGGGGGAAGATGCTCAATGCACAGGCATGGAGACATGGAACAGACTGATGAATCTCAGAGGAAAGGGGGGTGGGGGAGGGAAGAAAGAGATTAATCAAAGATCTTATATGCATACTAGAGGCCCAGTGCATGATTTGTGCACTGGTGAGGTCCCTTGGCCTGGTCTGCAGGGATTGGGCCGAATCCATGCACTGGGCCTCCTACATCCCCAAAGGGTCCCAGATTGCGAGAGGGTGCAGGCCAGGCCGAGGGACCCCACCCGTGCACAAATCCATGCACCAGGCCTTTAGTATACCCATAAGACATAGTATGGTATACATGTAATATTCATAGAATGTGAGAGTGCGTACATGTAATGGGAGGTAACGGTTGAATGGAAGTTAGGAAAAACTTCAGAACTTGCCCTAAGAAGGACAGTAAAAGTGTAAAATTTCTGTGTTAGAGCCACTAAGCTATTACATGCAGGATGTATTATGATATGGGAGACAATACAGACAAAAAGAGCAATTAGAAGCCTGCAGTTAAAGATGGAAGTGCTAAGGGATTTATTTAGGATGCTGATATAAGACCTGATGAATAAAAATGGGGAAGAGGGAAAAGGATGCATCAAATCTAGAGTTGATGGCTCCAGGTTAGATCATGGGTGTTTGGCAACAGAATAAAGGGGAAGAGGCCTTATGCCTAATAGGACAGGAATACTTTCTCAATAAAAGAAAACTCCGGATGAAATAAAAAGAAAATTCCCAAAGCAACATAATAGACTTTTCTAAAGCAAAAAAAAATAGGCTTGTTCAATCTACAAATGTATATTTACAATAAATTATTTTATTAGAAAAATAGCTTACCTTTATGCATAGAGGGACCTATGGACAAACATTTTATTCAACACTGCTGGTGTGAGTGGAAATAATATATGAAGACAGAAGCAAACTAAGCCTTCAAGAAAGCTGTGTTTAAGCACAAATTCTCCATTATCTTTAACATCTTATTTCTCTTAGAGAGCTGAGTGTGGCAAGAAATCAATAAATGTGGGCATTGTTTAAGGAGATAAATTTCACAATAGATTGGAAGCATAAAGTCTATGTCTCCTCTACTGTAATTGCTAGATTTCTCTCTAAAATTGTTTGATGGGTTAAGAATAACAGAAAGTTCTGGAAACTGTCACTTGCACCCCATTAGAGCCCCTCTGTCTTCTTGGGCAGATTCAACCCTGTGGGCCAGGAAGGCTATTACAGGAGAGGGGGCTGAGGGCAAGGAGTCAGAACGTAGGTGGAGTTTGGGCTTCTCTAACCTCCTCAGTCCTTAATTCTGAGACAGGGAAAAATCCGAACGGGCACCCACAGCCCTTGGACCTGGGCACAAGCTACATCAAACATGGATACCTCATTAGTTCCTCCCCCTCGCCCAACCCATGACTTATTTAGAGCAATATCTTATTTAAATGTGCTCCCAGGAACCAGAATCACCTGAATCGCTTGTTAACATGCATATTTCTAAGCTTACCCTTGAGACCCTTAAACGTGCGTTTTTAACAAATGTTCTAGGTGATTCTCATGCTGAGTCGTATACTGAGGCTTCCATAATTTTTTTTTTTTTTAAGAACAAACAACTTCTGCCCTATTTCTGTGGTAGCCTCACTGTCATATCTGATCCGAGGCTCATACTAGGTATTGAATAAATGTTTGTTGCACAAGTTAAACACACACACACACACACACACACATGCACAAATTAAGAACTATTATGAATAAAGCTCACTTCAAAGGTTGACTCATTTTTAGAATTACATGATAAAACAATGCAGGACCCTTCTATCTAATGATTTCACCTTAAAATCCTTGCATAATGGAAATTGACAGTGTGGTGTCAGGTGCTTTTAAATGAGACTGCAAACATCACAGACTGACTTAATTGCCAAGTTCCTCAAGTCCCATACTTTTAAAATGTTAAAAATGAAAACAATCACCAAAGAAAACAATGTACTTACATATCATTTTTACATGAAGGGACCGGTTTTTCATGAAACACATCCTTGAAATTATTAAGGGAATAATTACACGGATACACACGCTTCCCAAGAAATAAACATGGCAGATTTACTTTCCTATTACTTGCCGCAAGTGAGGGTGGATTCCATGAGGAATTAACAAGTTCCTAGATAATGTGGCTAAGCGATCATGACCCCGCATGGGTTGGCTTGTTTTTTGATAAAAATCTGTTCCCTTATATCTGGCAATGCCCATCAAGTAACTTCTAGGTGTTTATATAAACTAATATTAAAGAGAATGTTGAGGACGCTGACGGCCACTGAAGTCCAAGATGGTGGCGCCGGGCTGCTCCTGTTGCCGGGTGACGGAAGTGCCGGAAGTCACGGAAGTGCCGGAAGTGCCTCGGGTGGCCGGAAGTGCCATCTATAACCGGAAGTGCTGCCATTTGACCAACCGCCAACGGAGCGTTTCGGGGCCCACAGACAAGTTGAGCCTCGAGGCTGCAACCGCCCTTAGAGGGCCCGTTCGTCTTGGGGACATCTCTCTCACGGAGGAGATGGACCTGAAGGTCTTGCGGTTCAAGAATAAGAAGCTGTCAGAGCGGCTGGAGCAGCGCCAGGCTTGTGAAGATGAACTCCGAGAACGAATTGAGAAGCTGGAAAAGCGGCAGGCCACCGATGACGCCACACTCCTCATCGTCAACCGCTACTGGGCCCAGCTGGAGGTAACTGTGGAAGCCCTTCTCCGACGCCTTGAGAAGCAGCGGGAGCTGTCGTCAGGTACACAGCCACCTGGGGCCCAGGGCGGGCGGACGTCAGAACTGAGGGAGACCCTGCCCACGCAGCGACGGCCCCCACTCAGCGAGCCGGCGTTGGCTTTCCCGGTGAAACAGGGAGCCAGCAGCAGTGAGGAGGTGGGGCTGCAGGGCCAGATGGAGTTCTCCAAGGCCGCCGTGTCGCGTGTGGTGGAGGCCTCAGCCCGGATACAGCACCAGGTGGAGGGACTCTGTCGGCGCGTCTGCAGTCGAGGGGGAGGTGAGCCCCGCAGCGAGGCAGCTCGGGCACGCACCCGGGACCTGGGCTGTGAGAACCGGCGACTTCAGGCCTTGGCCACCGAGCTACAGGAGAAGCACCACGGCATCTCCTTGGAGTACGCTGAGCTCCAGGATAAAGTGACATCAGCAGAGACCAAAGTGCTAGAGATGGAGACCACAGTAGAGGACCTGCAGTGGGACATTGAGAAGCTGCACAAGCGTGAGCAAAAGCTCAATAAGCACCTGGCAGAGGCCTTGGAGCAGCTCAACTCTGGCTACTATGTATCTGGTAGCTCCTCAGGTTTCCAGGGAGGCCAGATCACACTCAGCCTGCAGAAGTTTGAGATGCTGAATGCGGAGTTAGAGGAAAACCAGTTATTGGCCAACAGCCATTTGGCAGAGCTGGAGAAGCTCCAGGTAGAGCTTCAGGAGGCTGTGCGGACCAAGGAGCACCTCAAGGTGGCCCTGCGGAGTATTCCTGAGGAGATGGTACAGGAGACGGAGGAGTACCAAGTGCTGCAGGCCCAGTTCTCACTGCTTTACAATGAGTCTCTGCAAGTGAAGGCCCAGCTAGAGGAGGCCCGGGGACTGCTGCTGGCCACCAAGAACTCACACCTGATGCACATTGAGCACATGGAGAGCAATGAGTTGGGGCTGCAGAAGAAGCTGCGTACAGAGATTATCCAGATGGAGGACACACTGGCCCAGGTACGCAAGGAGTATGAGATGCTGCGCATCGAGTTTGAACAGAACCTGGCCGCCAACGAGCAGGCAGGGCCCATCAACCGTGAGATGCGCCATCTGATCAGCAGCCTTCAAAGTCACAACCACCAACTAAAGGGGGATGCCCAGCGATACAAACGGAAGCTGCGGGAAGTGCAGGCTGAGATTGGCAAGTTCCAGGCCCAGGCCAGTGGCTCTATGCACTCTATCCCCGAGGACTCTGGTCTCAGTGCCCCAGATCCAGGGCAAGAAGAGGGCGGGCCAGGCCCTATTGGTGACCATGAAAGCAGAAAGGGGATGGTTTCAATGCCTGGTGCCACCATGACTA